ATCCGCGACGACGCTTCAAAGAACCCTCGTGGGCCCCCGCGCACCTGTCGCGCTCTACACCCTCCCCCACCTCCTCCCCCCCCCCCTCTCTCTCTCTCTCTCTCTCTCTCTCTCTCTCTCTCCCTCCTCCCCCTCTCCCCCCTTCAATCCTCCCTCTTCTCCTCCCCATTCCCTTTCCCTCCATCCTTTTTCTCTCATCTTCTCCTTCTTTGCTCCGCATCTTCTTAGAGTATCTGTTCTTGTCTTCCTTACTGTTTCCAGCAAATAACCTCCATCATCTCTTTTTCTCTGTTTTCGTTGTGCTACCCTCAGGCCTGTCCTACCGATCTGCTGGCAACTGCTCACTCCCTACCAATCACCTCTTCTCCCTGTGAAGCAAATCTCTCCCGCCCTAGAGGCAGAGTGGTTTCTCGTGCTCTCTTTTCCGAGTGTCCTCTTTTTTCTCTCATTCATCCTTCCTTCATCTCATTTGATTCGCATTGGTATCTGACGTTTCGTCCATACATCCCAGCCAGACCCATAAGCGATTCGAATACGCGCGATTACCGGAAAATTATCGCTCAATATTCTACATCTAAAAATTGAAAATAGTATGAAAATACGGCAAGTATGTTTGTCGCATGTTAAACATGAATATCGATATTTGATGTTTATACGTAAAATCTTACTTATTTGTTAGTGTTGTTTTATCGTTTTTGAATTTATCTTTTCCGAACTTCTCTTCATCTTCCTCTCGTAAATTAATTTACTTTAACTATTTTAATCTATAATTTCAAATGTAACTGGATACAAATGAATTATTTATTAATATAATTGTATAATTTTTAACTGAGGAACCTTAATTTAATCTTCTTATGAGCAACTTGGTAAATATTGTTTTGGGTCTTGATTTCAATTAGTATAATTTACATTTTTCGATTTTCTCGTCCGAAATCATTTCTCCTTAAATATCCCACGTACTTTTTTATGTTTTACGACATCAAAAGTTGCGTTTTTATTTTCGGATTTTTTAAAAATATTATTAATGATAAAATTTCTTTTCCCCGTTACAAATTTTCCTTTGCGCGTCTTCTCCTTTATATCAAATCGTAAACTTCTTCGAAACCTTCTCGTAAATCAAATATAATATATGTATACAGTATGTTGTATTAATTATTGATATATTATATTTATGAAATCTTTCTATTATTAAATTAAAATATGTATAACACATACACAAAACATTGATAGTTTATATAAATAGCTCAGCAAAAAGATATGTGTCATTTTTTATATCTCCTAAACTAGAAAAGCACAGAAACGTCTATTTGTTCGACTATTATACATATACATCTATATTTGAATAGGTACGAAGACTAGATAGAAAGATTAAAAAGCCGATATACATATTCTGCAATTCCGATAAATAAATTATTATAAAATTATAAGTTACCTGAAATAAAGTACGAGACTTATTATAATGCAGCACACCAAAAACAGAATCATAGCCAACGCTGCATAAGCCACAAATTCTTCACTTGGCATCCACCCAAAAATTGGTCGCGTTAGTTTGTCTTCCATTAAATGAGTACGCCAATTTGGAGCCTCGAGAACTTATTCAATTGATAATAACACAAACAATATTTTTTACAAGTAAAATAATTTTTTTAAAACTTAATTAAAAGACACGTTATTTACATTTTTCGAACGTGTAAATAAAAGATTTTATGATGCGTACGTTTATATTTCTAAACTATAATTTGCAATCTAGATTTTTTGTATTTACTCTCTTTAATTTCTCTCTGAACAGAGTCATCATGATTTAAATATTTACGTTCAAAACAAACGTTTCAAACATTACACGTTAACATTAGTTTAAATATTTGTTTTTAATGTAAATAAATGTTTTTATAATTTACTATTTTACAACTGGTTTAAAGATATATATCTCTGAGAATATCCTTTCACTTGTTGCAGATTGTATTATCGATTTGATGATACAATATCCTTTTCTAACTTAAGTATATCTTAATATCAAACTACTCTTGTAAAGTGAGAAGTTAAGAAATGTTCATATATTATGTCGTATAGTAATACCTTTTACGTTGATTATATTTGTCGTCCATTTAAAATTTAAATCCGTTTGCTCCACAATGCATCTCCATATACCGTGATGAGATTTATTAACAATGGGAATGTAATCAATATTTACAGCTACAGGCAATGTAATTCCATAGTCTTTCCATATGTTCTTATTGATTGTCCAATAAACTTTCAAATCGGAATATATGTAACCAAGGACAGCACAGTGGCATATCACATGCATAGATAGAGTTTCGCGAATTGTAATGCTTTCCTTAATCGGAATCACTGCTAAAGTTATCGCCTTAATTATCATATATGTACCGTCTATTCGATGTACAGTGAGTGTATATACACCCGAGTCGTTTAATACTGCTCTACTTATTGCTGCAAAAATGATCAAAGTTATATTACTCACTTATTAGAGACAAATAAGTCATTGCGTAATAATTAATTATTGTGACTAAATATTATATTATATATACCGATTTCATAATTCTTAACTTCTAATCTATGATTATTTTGAATAAAAATCCCATTATGAGACCACTGTATTTCGGAATCAGGCGATTCAGCTTTGATGGAATTTATGATATTAGAATCCGAGCGAAGTGATATCGGTGCATATTCCTGCACGATTAGAGCAGAGTGATTATGTGCAATTACTCTTTTTATTAAATTTGTGGTATCTATAATTGAAACATATAAAATACATATGTATAAAATACATTTAAAAATTAAAATAATAAGTGGGAAGGAGAAAGGGCCAACGCGAGCCAACCGCAGGTGTCCGTGCGAAATTATCCAATGTGGAAATATTTAATCCATTTATTAACATATTCAAACGTTTCGACCCATTTTCGGGGTTGGCTTTATCTGCAGATCTTTATTAATTACTTTCCCATTAATTTGTGAGAAACTCGCAAAACGTTAGAAGATTTTTCTACTTAGTTCAACTCTACCTACCTACGAGCAATATTAAATCTATTATAGGACATCTATGAAGGAATACACCCTATTACAAAATAAATATGTAAAATCTTTTGTAAAATATATTTTACGTCCTAAAACAAAATATTTTGCTGTCCTGTAGAAAAAAAAACGTTAAATATTAGTAATAGAAATAATGATTTACGTCAGCATACCGTCGGTTATGTCGCCACAAAGAATTGTATTGCAACGACCTGTCATAGTACTGGATCCTATACAAGGTTCACCCCGTACATTAGGCTCCGGTGAATTACAATACCGTCTTCTAGTTCCTATGCCACCGTTGCAACTAGCACTGCATACCCATGGTCCCCATTCTGACCATCCGCCATCTAAAGGGGGCCCATCTATGTCTGTGTGCAATTAAATAACTGAATAATAAGATGCAAGATAAACAAGTCAAGTACGATGCAATAGTAATTACTACTTTTTATATTTTATAATAAATATACTATCGAGGATCATTAATAAAGAAACAATGTTAATGTAACAATATTCTTAAATCCATATAACATAATTTAGAACATAATTTTTTTGTTTGAGATTATATTTTTGAAATTTAACCTTTTCATACACCTTTGATTAATACCTGATGGTATACAATTTGCACTCCAAGTGGCCCAACCTTTCGGGTCCACGGCGAGGGAGAAAAAATAAAAGATGAGCGGTTGACGATGTGTATAATAAAATATGTTTGTTTCGTTGCAAAATACTTGAATTGTATTTTCAGACCATCTTCACGGCAAAATTGTGGAAAACCGTAAATTAGTTAAGTTGCACGTTTACATTAGGTTTGACGAAATATAAATGCACATTTAATTAGATTACTTTATGGTAATATTTGTCCAGTAATTCGTATTAAATATGGGCTTGGGTGCTTTCTGTTTGTAATAAACTCTTACTCGGGGATACGTATTTTTCAGAAAATATATCCACTCGCCGCGTTCGCCGAGTGTAAGCGCATAAAATCTGTAAACCATAATGTGTTATAAATGGAAAGAGTTGTGAAATTAATATTTTTACTTACCCTGGTGCGGCAGGCATTAAAAGTAATGGTATTAGAACGACACCCTTGGCGCGAATCATCAACATTAATTTACTGGGTCTAAGTATTTCTTCTTTGGACCATGTCGATAATGGCAATATCCTAGTATAGCGATCAGTTTGTGTGTTTTCTATATGGCATCCTATATAATAGTTGAACGCAAGAAACAATGAAAAATATAATGAATGCAAGAAATAATAAGAAAGAGATAATTAATGCAAGAAATAATTAAAAAAAGATTTTGAAAATAACTGAAAATACTCATTTTGAGTGGCAAATATATACTTGAGGTACAATCAAAGGCAACTCCTATTGCATGACCTTTCTCGCTATTATAGTAATAATAGATTGGTAAAAATGCTTTAGCCGGTTCAGGATGTTTCCATTCAAATAGCGGATTTGATGCTCCTTCATAATAAAGAAGAACATGTCCTCGGGGTATGCGAATAATAAAGCTGCTCCACTTGCCAAGATACAATAAATGCGGTAATGTTTTTTTCTTCACCAAAATTATGTCTAATAAATGAACAAAATATATAGTACGTATACTTATACACCAAGTTTTTCATCGGAACATGTTTTCAAATTACTCTGTTCTTCCGATTGATAATAAAGAAGCACTTTCTCGTTATCTAAAGCTCCAATCTTAAGAATATAACGAGATTTTAATCCATCATCTGCAGTGAACACAAACGTTATGGTATCCGGTAAATCGGGTTCCCATGCTTTTAATGAGAAATATATGCCTTCTGTACGATACTCTGGCAAAACATATAATCTTCGTCCAATGCCATGTCCTTTTACGAAAAATGTACATTCTTCTGTATGGGATTAATAATATAAATATAAATTTATATCATCAATCCGTTATACTCCTTAGACTCCATTCACTTCTTTGATTGTATTATAATTAAATAGAAATATACGGGGCGAGTCGTAAAGGCTGTCCCAACCTTTTATTATAAGAGGTGAATTAATTAAAAATGCCTAAAATCTCGTCCCACATGTCTCAATCATGTAATATCTAATTATTTCTCGAGAAATGTAATCAGATATTACATGATTGAGACATGTAGAATGATATTTAATTAATTTTTTTCCAAGTTGGCTACAGTTGGTCAGTAATTCATCTCTTATGGTAAAGGGTTGGGACAGCCCTTACGACTCACTCTGTATTTCATTGTTCTTAATCTAACCAATCTTATCTTGCGTGATAATTGAAGTGTTACCTGGCTTCTCACAATCCCTTACATTGCACAGATCTTGTGGCACCAACGGATCCGTTGTGTAACACCAAGTGCCAGCAATATTGCGCGAAGGATCTCTACAATAATTATTGGCATCTCGTACGCTACGTTCGGGATAAAGAGTATCATTTAAATACGCTCGGTCGACAAAATGGGCAGGTTTGGTAATTATAAATTCGGATTGTGACGATAAATTTGATAATGATGGTTTGGACATAAGCGAATGCGATGGCATCGATAAAATGTCTTGTTTTGTCGTTAAATAATGTTTCCAGCGAGATTTTGCAAGAGGTGATCTTAAAGTCCTAGGAAGTTTTGCTTTCAATGACATATTTGATTCATGGATCTGTTCATAATTGTTTGACCATTTTGCACAAGTTCGGCCTGAACGAGTCGTTGATAACGTGCCTATATAATCATTAGCCGTTCCTGCCATTCGACATTCTGCAAAAAGCAGAAGAAATTAAGCTCTAATTAAATTTTATAAAATATATGATATTATTAGTAATATAGGATTAAATATCTTACAAGTAGGTGTGAAATTATTGTCTCAAACTTTTTATGATTATTTAAGAAAATAAAAGCAGTATTTTTAACTAGACTTGAATCTGTCATAAATGCATAAAAAGAAATTTATTTAGATTATAATGGATTACTCTATATTTATAATTTAATAGGAATAATGCAAATGTTTTAATTCTACTCAAAAAAATAAGAAGAAGAAGAGACTGTAAACAAATAAATAATATGTCCACTAATGATGTCGACATAAATACCTGATGATCTACAAGTTCGTACAGGACAAAATTGTTTTGTGATACTAATGGCATGCGAAGCGGAAATCGTATAGCAATAAGGTCCATTAGGATCATGCGTTGGATTTCTACACATATTTAAAGCTTTCACCACAGATCTATCCACAAAATTATCTGCTATTTTCTCATGGTATGGTATCTAAAAATCATGCAATAGTTTTACTAAAAATATAAACATAATAAACATCTTTCCTAAAATATACTAGACATTCTTTAAATACAATAGAGACAACACAGAAATAAACAAACGTTAGCATATGCTCTTACAGTTAAATTCAATTTTCAATTGCAAATTGAATGCCTAGTTATCAGTTCTATATGTTAAAGAAAAAATATATATGTATAGTTTTGGATTATATATTACTGTTCTATATAAATTTAAGAGAAATACATTGTGGAAATTAAACCTCTTCTGCTATCCATGGTATACACGGAAGTTCTCTTACACTTGTCCATTGAGTTCCTTGATATTGATAATCAATGATATTTTGAATACAATTTGGAGGTTGAGGATCTTCTACCTTGTCTGATGCTATTCAAAAATAAATATTAAATTGAAATTAAATTACGCACGCACGCACGCATGCACGCAGAGAATCTCAATCTAGTTGAAAAATTAAGTAAATACTTAAATAAAACCGCGTTTTTTAAAAATTGCGTTCTTGAGGAAAAAGTATAGAATCTTTATAAAATTTTATTTCTACTTTTCATAAATTAATTTTTCATGATTTATGACTGTAAGAGTAAATTTTAAAATCTTTGGAGAGCTAGGCACTATGACGAGGAAAAAATAACGAGTTAGGACTAGATCAAGATTCAAACTGGGATGCATTATCATTACCTAATACATATGTAGAAAGAGCATTTTAAAATTCGCAACATAAAATATATATACCATCAGGTGAACAAAAGAATGTCCAGTGTGCTATTGTTTGATCGCTTCCCACGCTGAACCAACGTAAGGTAATTAATAAATCATGATTTGCATTTATAACTTCTTCACTCCCATATGCGCGTTGCGAAAATAAACGCAGATGTGTCCCGAAAATACTACAAACATTGCACATAAAAATGTATTATTGTGACGATGAGATATAAATGTTTTTTAATAGGTAAATGAAAATATGTATATATTGACCTAACAATAAACTCTTTCCAATTCCAATAGTCTATTAATCCTTTAACTACAACTTCTTTCACATATTGTTTTACTGATTTCTCGCTTTCTTGATACAATAGAGATGTAACGTCATCACGTCCAATTTCTATCTAGAATAAATATCTACCGCTGTTCATACGTTTTCACAGTTACGTCTAATTTTTGATTAAATATATCTGAATATATGTATAAGAATAGAAGTCTTTCGATCTTACTGTAAAACAGGGAAATAGTGCACCAGGGCTTTGGTATAATCGTATTTTTATGTTATGGCTAGCTCGAACATAAAAATGAATATCGTGCGTATCATTACTTTTTTGCATAGGCCAAATTCTCAAAAATTCATCTTCAAATGTTATATGACTTTCACAATCTATACACCCAAGGAATAAAGGATTCAATAAAATAATATTATAATTTATATATGCCATACATATTATATATGCCAACATATACGTAATATTATAATTTATATATGCTATACATTTTTGACAAAATTCCGTCCTCCATAAAATTCCAGTGCCCATGATGCCATAGTATAAAAAATTGTCAGGATATAAACTTGAAATACTATTTTCCATTTTATACTTGTCCATAAATAAAGGTTTAGACACACCATATAATCCAAGAGATATGAAACCACCACCCCATGCAATCCACAGGCCAGTCCACTTAGAACTGAGTAATATTGTAGGTGTATTTTCAAACAAATGCACCTAAAGATATACATATATATAAATGATTATATATAAATATAGATAAATTAATAATTAATCAGATGTTACGTTATTACATAATGCATACAATATTACATTAATGCTTTTACCATCTAACCCAGAAACAATTACCATATAATTTTTACACCCCAATATCGAAAAACTAAAGCCCATATCATAGTTTTCTTTATCAATCGAGAATCTTACCTTTTAAAAAATTCCAAGATCTAATCTGCATAATGGAAAGAATTTAAGACCTATACATACTTAGTATTGATCTATTAAAACTTGCTGGAATATAAAAATCTCTCCGGATGATTGTTTGTGCAAAAAATAAAATGATTGTCTCCGGGTTAAACGTTCTTATTTTTTGTTTTTAGATTTGAATTGTGCTAACATCAGTAGCTGGATATGTTTGGCCGCTGACATTATTCGAAATCAAAAGTTCAACTCCTGCCTTCCAATCTTGAGCAATCTTCTTGGCAGAAGATGGAACTGGAAGCAAACTTAATAATATTCTGGCTTCTGCCTAGATATATTAGATTAATTTCAATAATTGTGATTAATGTAATCTTAATTTATTAAATTTATCTGTAATTAATATTTAATATTATCTATACTTAACAAGGTTGATATACATTTTGTTCATCAAAAGGGTTCCAAAGTTTAATCCAGACGGATATGTTTCCATAAGTGCTATTTAATCTCGTTAATATAGTATAGGTTGATGAATTTTGTGAATACATCAAGCAATCTAAAAACATTTTATAATTAATATCATATTTTTCAATATATTTAAAATATTCAATAGATGTTATAAAAATCTTACAATTATTATTTTTATATTGTTTTTAATATTTAAACATTAAAAACTATAGATTTATAGTAAAAAAATCAATAATAAAAATATAATTCAAATTTCATAGAAATTATCTTTCTAAAAATATAGTTAATTTTTTGTAAAAGACTCTAAACAACATAAAATTTATAAACGTATATTCATTCGTACGTTATTTATAAACGTAATTCAGTTTATAAACGTTATATTCAAACCGAAGAATTCTTTTATTTTTAAAAATATTATAGGACCAGCTGGGTTGTCCGGTTTTGTCCAGGTCTTCTTTCTCCTAAATTATCTTCTCTAAATATCATTATTATTCAATAAAATATTTTAATTTATCTGTACACACACACATGCATGGAAAACTAATTTTAAATGAATATGTGATATACTGTTAAAAAGATTTTAAATACTCGTAACTAATTTGTTAGGTTCGTACAAATTAAAGATTCAATTACTTTTTAGTGACAGCGTACAGAGTTCTATAAAAGAAAGTATCATGAAGTTCGAAGAACGTAATACGTACGTACATATATGTAATATGTATATGTATAATGACAAATCTTGGAGTGTTAACTTAAGTAGAGTTTCTTTTAACAATAAATATATGTTTACGTATTTGTATAAGTTCTATCTTTAATCTTTAATTATTGTAAATCTTTGGTGTTCTAATTAAACAAATACCTACCTTCATCATTGCAAAATGGAATGTCGCAATATTCTTTTTCTACTTGTTCGTAATTTTTTCCTTCTACGTAACACCAAGGACCACCGGCGTCACCATTTGGATTTCTACAGAAATTATTTGCCTTCACTCTTGATCCATCTGGAAAATCCTTATCGCGGAATTTAATATTCTAAAACCAATTATCTAATATTGAAAAGTGTAAAAAAATAAATTTTTACGGTAAATGCACGTTTTCTTGCGATATTAGTATATATACATCATAGTAAGATTCAGATATCTTACTTTCATACTGTCAAGTTTATATTTTCTGTTCCAAGATTTGCACTTTCTTTTTGAAGTACTAAAACTACGATTTCCGCCATACTCCGCTCCTGGTCCCGTTATTATACAATCTATTATGCAATTACATAAGATCTTGAATATTTGTTAACTTTTATTTTCTTTACGTTTTATTATTAAATTCGTAATATTTACCTTTGTAATTACAAAGAGGAATATCACATTCATCATCAATTACCATAGGTTCTAATGTATAACACCAAGGTCCCCTAGGATCTCGAGTAGGATTTCTACAATAATTTTTTGCAAGTTTCATAGATTTCTCTGGAAAATCTGTGTTACTTATATCCTTGCTAATCTAATAACAAAAGAAGACAATTTATATTGATTATTAATGATATATAACATACAAAATATAAGAGATGTAGTCAAATGAGGCTCAAAAATACAGTATCAAGTTATATACAATATGATACCAAAGATTGCAAACTCAAACTATTATTTTTAAATTTCTTATGCTTTTATTTTGTTATCCGCCATTTTCAATAAATTTATCTCGCAACATTGAAATGAACCGCTTCTTAAAGTAGAGATTTCAAGCTTTATTTTCATTTCTCTATAGACCTTTCTATCTTTATTATAATATTTACAAAGTTATTGTCATTTAAAATTTGGTGATTTTTTTCCCGATATATTTTAATATATAAGTTATAAACGAACTTCATGAAGTGGTCGTTGGGCTGCCCATAATTGACAACGCAAACCACTAATAGTTGTCATAATAAAACCTTTGTACTCAGTTCCTAGTTGAGACAACTTGCACTTAAATAAATCAATGTTCGATGTATTATGCACTAGAAAGGAATAAAGATTAATAATCGGATAGATTTTAAGATTATCATACGGAGAACAAACAATTTTGATATTGGAAACTATAAATAGGAAGAAAACAGTTGAATTTTTAAGCTTTTATTCTTATTTTTGTACTTTTTACTTTTTCTTTGCACCATGTTCCTATTATGTATACATGTACGATCATGTGATCAAGCAAAAATGAAATAGGAGGAAAGTTATAATACAACATAGACTATTCATTAAGAAATGCAGACCGATAAGGAACAAACTGCTATTTGTTTTCTGAACATCTTAGACCAGTATTCATAGCCAGATCTTATATTCGAGACCGCCCTAAGATCATCTTTTGATACTCCATAGCCAATGAAATGTTTCATGCAGCGTCTTTAGATAAATTCAAGACGATCTTGAATATAAGATCCAACTATGAATACCAACCCAGCAAACACCAAAGTAACAATTACATAACATCGGGTTTGTTTTCTGTTCCTGCACTGGTGAACTAGTGCAGTAAGCTAGAATGAGAAAAAATATGCTTGTCTTAAATTACTCCAATTTATTGCACTAGTTCACTAGTATAGGAACAGAAAACAAGCCTATTAATGCAAATGTAATATAACAGGCATGTGTTATATTATCATTTATATTGATGTTATGTAACTGTTACTTTGGTGTTTGCTGGGAACTTTAGTATATCAATATCATAGTTCAGGGATGTATTGGACGGATCTTCCAAAAGTTTGTCCAAAATATCAGGAAATTAAAATTGGACAGCCTGAATTCTAATCGACACATAATTATTCACTGGCGATCCATCTATCTGAAGATTAAATATCTGTCTTATTGTTTCCAATTCATGAAATTACATTGACTGTTCTCCTTTTGAAATTTGCACTATTTTAGTTACACGAATCTGCAGTAATCAAGTTTAAAATTTGCAAGAGTATCGCACAATATTGTTCAACGTGCATATTTTTCTCTCAAAAGAATAATTTATAACAAACGAGATGTATTTGAATCCTCCAGAATATTTTGCCTGTATTCACAGGGTTTTCCGTCCAATATTCTTCCCCATTGTGGTCAACGCCGCAGTGTCTTAATGTTATTTCTGTTTATTATTGTTTTATATGTTATCTCTTTGTTAGCACTGTGCAAAATTTCTTCCATAAATTGAACTGCAATGTCAAAGAAATTAATTAAATAAGAAGGGCATTTATTATTATTACAATTAGTTTATTATTTAAATGTTATGAAATAAATAGACATAATAAAGGAAAATTGTAGCAGTCTTCCATGCCACAATAGAGAGTTTTCTATTATAGTAGAGAAAAATTATAGAAATATTATGAAACCCAGTGAACAAGGAACAATAATTAACATGATTTCTTATAGAAAAATTACAGAAATATTACGAAGCCCAGTAAACAAGAAGCATTAAATCAATATTTAAAAAATATTCACTTTACGGTATCAAATGAAACGCCGGTGTGGCCACTCTCGGGTTTCTCTCTGCTAAAGGTCGTTTGCAGCGAGAGGTTCGCTGCATGAAAAGGCACCTTTAGGATAGACCGACAGAATGTAATTTTACTAGGTTAGGTGCGAATATTACTGTGGCGACTGAAGTGATTAATTTGAAGCCTTAAATTGCGTCTCTCTGCGAAACGAACGAGATGGGTTTACTTACAGATCCCAGAGCTGGAACTGGCAAAATTATAAAATTGTTATTAAAATGGGAGAAACCGCTGTGCTTCGTGCTGTATGCAGGAGGAGTTGTATGGCTGATGCTCTTGGCGTTACCGGCGTTTAACGACAGTACGTGTGTCTCTTCTAAAGAAAAATTTCACAATAATTAAAGGTGCAATTGCGTTTGCGACTCTAATTTGTGTGCCAACTAACAGCGTGACTTTTAGACACCTATTTCTCCGAGAATGCCTTGCTACCTGGGCTGGTCACGAAGGAGAGTAACCTGGAACAAACGTCGAAGCAGTACTACCATGAACTGATGCACGAGATGAAAAGATATCCGGATGGCATGCCTTACGCGTGGCTCTCGGCAAAATTCAGTCAGCTTCATCTAGATGTGCACGTGCATAATTTCTCCCTGATTTATCCGTTTCAGGAACAGAAGGTAGTCGCAAAATATACAATAAGGTCCAGTTTCACAAACGTCGGTTAACTATTAACCAGAGTTCAATCGACTTCCTATCTTTCTCTATCTTGTTATCCAAGAAGAGACAGAGGATCAATTAACCATGGGTTAGCGGTTAAACGACGTTTGTGAAACTGGCCCTTAGGGCCAGTTTTACAAACATCGGTTAACTGTTAACTAGGGTTCAGTCGACTCCCTATCGTTTTTCATCTTATTATTTAAGAAGAGACAGCGGATCAATTAACCTTCGGTTAGCAGTTAACCGACGTTTGTGAAACTGGCCCTAAGTAAACTTGATCGTTTTATATAGAAATAAAATTTGCGGCATTACTGGGCATTGCTAGTCATTACTAGACATTGTTTGGGCATTAGGCCTTTGCTGGGGCATTATAAAGATAAAATAAGATAAAACAAGATAAATGAGATAAAATAAGATACAAAGTAATGCCCACCGGGCATTAGTAGGCACTGGTGTACAAGATTTTGGTCAGCGGTTTTCCCCCTCGACATTTTCCTATCGGGGTAATAAACGAATTCAAAGGAACAAGGACTAAAGAGAAATTCTTATTTTAAATTTATGGCGAAAAATATTAGCCAGGGGGTTTGAACCTGGACCTCCTACTATCCAGGACAAACGTCATAATGAATTCGACACTGGGGCTAAAATTAATAATATTATTTAACGATACGCCTTCTACATACATGTGCAAAATTTTCTAGTTTGCAGGACAAAATATTTACGGCATTGTCAGAGCCCCGCGAGCGTCCAGTACCGAAGCCATTGTAGTCGTTGTACCATATAGACCTATTAACAGCATTTATTTAGACACCGCGCCTTCAATAGCTCTGCTACTTGCCTTTGCAAAATTCTGTAGAAGTAAGTTTCTCTGGAAATTGCCATCGAACGACCGACGAGTGTGTCGAAGACACTTTTAAATAGCTGTCTGCTTGTAGAGCAAAAGTATTGGGCAAAGGATATAATATTTCTCGTGACGGAGCATGAACAGTTGGGCATGCAAGCGTGGCTGGATGCGTATCATGGTGTCACCAGTGGCCAGGAAGGAATCCTGATAGCGGGAGATTTATCGGGAAGAGCCGGATCTATTCAAGCTGCTATCAATCTTGAATTTCACGCGATGAAAATTACATCAATTGACGTCAAGGTAAATATATATATGTACAAGTAGACATTATTGTTATACTTTATTCTACTCTGTTCATAACATCAATTTTGTTCTTAGATAGAAGGGCTAAATGGGCAGCTGCCCAATCTAGATCTTTTTAATTTGGCGCAAAACATGATAGCCAAAGAAGGAATCCGGCAGTCTTTCCAACGACGATTCGACGTCAATTACAGGGACAAATTAAAAAGCTGGTGGTATCATTTTAATACGTTGACGAGCATGGTAGCGACGCAGGCCACTGGGATACCAACTGGTAACCATGGACTCTTTCACAGGTACAATTAACAAAGTGAGATTGTATTAATAGAATTGATTCACAGCTCTCTAATTTTATGCGAGTAAGTAAGAGATTGAACAAGAGAAAATGACAAGAAGAAATTATTGACATAATGTAGGATTATAAATAAAAAGCCTTGCATTCCTTCAATCAAAACATTTGTATAAAGCGACTATTATCTCTACATATGATTTTTGTGCTCGAATCTTGGAAAAAATAAAGCTTGATTATTGACTCGGATTTTTAAGTATGTACAAGTGTTGAACTTGATTCGACTCTTAGTCTTCTATAATGTTGATTTTTACATTTATCACGATTTATTTACAGGTTTGGCATCGAGGCTATTACATTGGAAGGCTTCAAAAAGTCCGGAAAAGAGACGGAAGCAAATTTTTACCAAGTAGGACGCATAGTGGAGAGTATAGTGAGGTCACTTAACAATTTATTAGAGCGTTTCCATCAGTCGTATTTTTTCTATTTATTGCCTTCCACAGATCGCTATATTTCTATTGGTGAGAAAAAAATTAAATAAACACTATATATTCCAAATATATTCCTAATTTTTCTGGTTCAAATGTTGAAAGTAAATTAATGAAAATCACTTTGCAGGATTATACATGCGGCCTTTGGTACTAATAATTGCTAGTGTATTTATAAAGGCATTCTCTATTTGGCAAAGACTACAAGCCTTGAACAATTCGAATGAGACAAAAAAGGATAAGCAAGATTTATCGAATCAGGTAAATGGAGCTTTATGGTTAGTTAACATAGGTTTTATCGCGATTTCACGTATTCCCGTGTTCTGTTGAATAGGTCGAAGAATTTGACATTGGAAGTATTACTTCTGAAGTGTTGTGGGCGCATATTTTCGGAATATTAGTAATGGCCTCCCCTCGATTTTTCACCTTAATCGGATCGCAGATGTTCAATTTACGTACAGAAGACTCATTGTACATCAGTTTCGCCTTGATCACGATTCTCACGTTGCTATGGCGCTTTTATTTGAGGAGGTAAAGGCATAAAGTCAACTTGTGCAACTATTTAATCGCGTTACTGATAAATATAATTTACAGATCGGTCAAATACGAAAATATATCACTCGTGTGTGTCATCGCGCTGATCGAGCTGGCCACCGCGCTAATGTGCGTAGCCATGCACAATTTTTCATTGGCCTTAGTAACGGCCGTCGTGTACGTGCCAGTTATATTGTTGATAACGCCGCACGACGAATCCGCGTCCAGGTGAGCGCGATCAGAGTCTGTCCTTACATTCGGCCGCGAGCATCTCTCCCTCCATCTCTTCCCGACGATTAACGATATGTTAATCTCGCTTTTGCAGAATCCGGTGTAGCCAGTATATCGCGTGGATCATGCTGCACCCGTTCGTTTCGTCGGCGATCGTCGTGATGGGCTACACGTATCTCAACTTCCCCACCGACCCTGTCCCGTCGCTGCTTCTCAGGGGCTATCGCGCCAACAAGCAGGCGCTCGTATTCAGCATCGTCGACTCTATGATATATGGCAATTGGTTCTACAACATCGCCACCGCCGTCATGCTACCGATATGGCTGTTGTTTTGGAATGTTATGCGCTCCAGCATTACGATCCCCTCGCGATAAGATGATTATGTAACTCACGATCGAACTTTCTTCGGCCCGGGAGCAACTCGATATATTCAGTGTTGATTTGTCTCGCGTCTGTGTAAAAAGCCGTCGGTGCGACTTGTCGATTAACGTCCGGGAAAGTTACTTGCTCCTCGGCAAATAAAGTAGGAGACGCGCATTTTTGAAAGGAGTCTTCGGAAGTATTTATTTATACTTATTTTCTCACGAGGTTCGTCAATAATACGTCAGCCAGTAGATATAGCGTATCGCTCGATGATAACCCTTGCGACATTCTTATTGCGGATCGCTCAGCTAGTTTAGTGCGTGCGGTGAGCGCGGTAACATTGGACCAGTGCGTGCGCTGTACTCTCACTACGTGAAGCATCGATGCGCCGAACGGGAGCGGAAAGCATAACAGTACGTATATTTTTTTCCCCCTGCAAATATTGTGCGACGCTAACACGCATACAACGACCCTACGTATTATTCAATTGTGAACGATTCTGACGGGATGTTGTTCACCACATGTTATTTCACGTAATCGTTCCTAGCGCTCAAGTGTCGCAACAAGCGCCGTCATACGCAATCGCGACCTCCTTGAGCTCCGCGTGTTTATGCCTATTCGATGAAAGTCGTATTTAAGCGTTCTTTCACAGCTCAGTTTCACTCCACACGATTCCTGTTCGTTTAAATTCATGTGTACGAACATTGCAATATGTAACATACGTAAATCTATGTTATTTGTTATATATGGTAAGTGTTACACGTTACATTCCTAATATCTTTTTCGTTTTACTACCTAATGCATTTTTAAACATGCAAATGCCTAATACTAAAAATATATCTATTAACAATACCGTAAATGAGTTTTCTTTTTAGTGCAAATTTTAAGTGAGGTACTTGCTTCCTGCTTATTATTTTTTTCTTAAATTGTTGCCGACTATCAAATTGTAAAAGCAATTTGTAATAGTAAAGTTAACTTACAATTAATAGGAAAATTAACATATTTTGATTCTTAATTCATTAAAAATCTGTCTCTTAAAGGAGGGGGGGGAGGGAGGGTTCTGATATATAGTAGATCTTTCACTTGTCTGATATAAATTATTTGAAATTTCTGTAATTGGGTTCTACCTTCTATAATCATAAATTATAGTATCTTGAATGCAAATAAATCGAAGATAAACGCGATAAGACACGGTATATTTTATCGAGATTACCGGTTTGAATGCATCGTACATTGTGACTTTATCACAATACAAATGTGTTTTGAATGAGATAAAGACACAGGAAGTGCAACGTACCGAAAATCATAAACAACTTTTGTAAAATTCGCAAACAAATTTACATAATGTATGTACGTACATACATGAATATTCCATGAGATCAGCAATTTAGAAATAGCCTACTTTAGATGGTTTATACGTACATATTATATATCGTATTTTAAATCGCGCTTTTATACATATGTATATAAAATTATAAATATAATACTGGCTATAAATATGTATAATAATTGGCTGAAACCTTTTGAAAATAAATAGTTTATGACGGTATGTATATTATGGAACTTTTCGGAATAGATTCGGAATTGTTCAAGCACAATATTTTTACATTTTTATTGTATTTCTTAGAAAAATCGAAATAATATCGACCGAAATTGATTCCGAACAGTTCTGTAATACGTGCCCTGGTTTATGTGATATGTTGATAAAGAGACACAATGGACGCGACCCAGATAGCAATGCGTGTCTAAAAGACGTCAAAAAGATATCTTTAAGACACTTTTTAGACGTACATGTCTAAAAGACAACTTAATGCCATCTTAAAGATGTCTTTTAGACATGCATGCTATCTGGGGACTCTTTCCAACAAACCGTTTAGAAACTACAAGCATTAAAAAGTCAAGATAAGACCATGGGTTATTGCAGTAATATTATGGGAAGCCCAGAAGCATGTATGTCTAAAAGACATTTAAGACGGCATTAAATTGTCTTTTAGATATGCATTGCTATCTGGGAGATGGATCAAGATGGATTACAATGTATTATTGAGTAGAACAACACAGTTAATCCTTTTATTGGTACAGAGATGTATTTAAGTAGAAAAAAAATATGTACATACACATATGGCGTTCCAACTGATAAGATTAGTAAATAAACTTTTTAAACTATCAATATATGCATTATATCGCCAGTGAATAATAAACCAGGATGGAGAATTGATTTGACCTAACTGGCCACTTTATTAAAATTCAGAACACGACGTTTCGGCCCTGGATTTTGGCCCTCTTCTAGTGCATAGAGTAATCTAAAATCGTAAATCCAATTAAGTTACAGTACAGTTCACAAATCATAAAGGACCATAGACAGATTAACAAAGTGAAAGTTCGTACCTAATTGTAAGTCATAATATTAAAAAAATTTTCATATGTGTGTAATCGCATTGTTTCAGAACGGTGTCGTCATAAACTTTTTAAACTCAAATTGTATACATATGTATTATATTAGTACATTACTAACTTTAATACTCTTTATACTGATACTTGTACTATGCCCATATTCCATTGACATTTCTAATGATGATTGATCAAAGAGATTCCACGTTCGAGCATTTGATTAAATAATGTCATAAACTAAAATAAATCTGAAGTCTCACTTGTTATTCCAACAGAATACGATTTGCTACTGCTATTGTGCTGAGTAACATTGCATACGCAGTACACACGCATATATGTACATACGCATACGAGGTGGTTGTCGAAAAATTGTAGTTTATTGATTTTTCCAAGAAACTTATTAAATTCCATTTTTTTCACTTTTCATTTTTTCTATTGTCCTCCTATAGTAAAATTTGTTTAAACAATGCAGAAAAGTACATTTTTTTTAGTGGAATAATAACCAGATAAACCCTAAAAATTGATCATAACAGCATAAATAAGTATTTACAAAAGCTCTACCGTCAATCAACAGTCGAAAAAACACTTTTTATACATTTGAAACTGATATCTCACAACTGAATATCTCAAAACATATATAATAAAAATATTTGAGCCTTTTTTGAAAGATAATTTAATTCTCTAGAACCTTTGTCTCAATACTTCATGTTGAAATCGCATACTTTCCCAAATATTTGCGAAAATATATGATAAAGAGTGATTTTAAAAGTGTTTGGGCGCTAAATTTTTTAAGAGGAATTGTTAGAATCAAGTTGCTAGGAGACTTCCTGTTCAGAGTTAAATTTCCTGTCAGATTACAAAATCTGGCCGGAACGTTCGGTACCACCCTGTACATACATGTGTATGTACACATGTACTGAACACACGGCGGCTCTTTGACAGTCATCAACTTAATCAACTATAATCTGGCTTTAACGGTAGAAGCTGCTATAAGTAACAGAGCTTGTGGACGCTGTGCATCACAAACACGAAACGATTTCTACGATAACGTAAATAACGAAGCCTGTAAGTTGCGATAACCGATTGAAGGAGGAAAAAATTATTATCTGTGAGTAGAGACACGTGTATCACGACGTTTAATTGACATCGAGTACATAGTGTTTATGATTACATTATTTGCTCCTTACAAGCTAAAAAGAGCAACGACTTTTATTGCAGTCCTGATAGCGTTATGTATGTATGTATGTATGGTATGATAGATTACGTCGTTGATTACAGCTTGCGTTGATGGGACAAAATTGCTGGGTTATTCAAACTGCTGCCGAGATTTTGGTTTCACAGAGTAAGAAAACGCTGTAATACATTTGTATAACAGATATCTTTATTAAAGGAGTGCGACGGTACCGCTTTGAAAATGGACAAGGACGTTATCAAATCACCGCCTGTGTGCAATGGAAACGCAAGCCACGATGAACTTCATGAAGACGATATAAACAGCAGTGAACCATCAGTGTCGGACACTCTTATCTTTTATGTAAATGGAAAAGAGGTACGATTTATATTCAGTGTTGTAATACACTTTGTGATTTGAGTATTAGACATATCATTTGCAACGGAACAAAGATAATTGTTTCCCGGAGTCTGTTGTAAATAAACTGAATGTACGATTACGTTTAACAAATTGGTCGAAGATTATACTTACTGAGTTCCAAAAAAGTACCATTTATACACACAATTTGATATATCATAACGATGTTCTGGAGAATTTTTGTTCCAATCAAAATTAAATATAAAAGGAATTTATCGATTATAATTAAAAATTATTCATATAACTGATGTGATTGACTACAACAAAGTTGCGACTTATATGTATATGCCATTAATTTATGTGCATTATTTTTACTTCAAACTTAAAGTCAAAATTAACAAGTGTTCAAAAGCTTTTAAATAATTCATGTATAATGTTCTTCATACAATTTAAATTAAATTTGCGAACCTTGACATCAGTTTAATAACAGCGATCTAGAGAATTCGTAAGTTTGAATATAATGTAATTAAGAAATTTCGTGGATTCTTAATAACTTCGATAAAATATAATAAATTTAGTCTTCACAATTAATCGATATTTTGTATAAAAGAAGACTGACTAGGGCAATGTGAGCCAGCACCAGATTTTTAATAAATGTCATATATTAAAATTTAACAAAATTTACATGTATTACAATGATATATAATAAATAAGTACGTTTCGGTCACTATATGTGACCCTCTTCAGCCAATGTGTTGTTCTATAAAATAAACTTCGGTTAAAATAATTGTCGGACGCGAATCGATGTCACTTAGAAATTAATGTGTCGTTGAACGGTCCTCTGGAATTGTATATATTGTCCGTAAAAGTAATACCTTATTTGAGATGTAAGTCGGAAAACTATTTCTTCAACTTCTATTTCGCAAAACATGTGGGCGATTCGACACTTAGCATGGTATCGGAGCGGCGGAATCATGATATGTGAAATAGGAGAGTCGGTCCTTTATATGTTGTACAAAGTGTCTCGTGTTATCGTCTGTGTTCTAAGGTTCTTAGATAACACGAGACACTTTGTACAACATATAAAGGACCGACTCTCCTATTTCACATATCATGATTCCGCCGTTCCGATACCATGCTAATTGTAAGTGTCGAATCGCCCACATGTTTTGCGAAATAGGAGAAGTTGAAGAAATAGTTTTCCGACTTACATCTCAAATAAGGTATTACTTTTACGGACAATATATACAATTCCAGAGGACCGTTCAACGACACATTAATTTCTAACAATAAGTGACTCATCGATTCGCGTCCGACAATTATTTTAACCGAAGTTTATTTTATAGAACAACACATTGGCTGAAGAGGGTCACATATAGTGACCGTACTTATTTATTATATATCATTGTAATACATGTAAATTTTGTTAAATTTTAATATATGACATTTACCAAAAATCTGGTGCTGGCTCACATTGCCCTAGTCAGTCTTCTTTTATACAAACATATCGATTAATTGTGAAGACTAAATTTATTATATCTTAATAACTTGTAAAAAGTCACAACTTTGATGCAATAGGCCCTACATCAATGATACACGCTATGGCAAACGGGATCATGTTTAACACCCAAGAAAATACGAAGAACAATTACCCTTATTCTTGTGCACGAAAAAGTGCAACAAAAAAAAAGTCATTTTTAGTTGAACACTGTTCTTACACGTTTTATACATTACACATATTGTACATTATATATTTCGCAATTTAGGTTTCAGATAAAAATATACAGCCGCAATGGACCCTTCTATGGTATCTTCGCAACAAACGTATCCTTTTACAAATTTATCAGTTCATTTTGTAGAAAAAATTTCTCATATAGAGGAAAGTCCTCTATTATGAGATAGGATTCTAATAGGAGATAACAGGTCTGAACCTGTTATCTTTACGAAATGTTATCTTTACGAATCTTTACGAAAAAGATTTGTGATTGAATTCGAATTCAATCACAAATCTTTTTCGTAAAGATTACACGATCTAACAATTTTCCACTAAACATGATGGAACAAACTAGAGCTGTTAAATTTGCACCTTTTTAAATTTCTACTCATATGCAAGAAAACTAATAAGAAACTGAAAGACAATTGGAAAAATAATTTTCTGTACATCGGTTTATTCATCCTTAATGTATAACGAATTCAGTTGGATTGACCGGTACAAAACTTGGTTGCGCGGAAGGAGGGTGTGGAGCCTGTACAGTTATGATTTCGAAGCTTGATCGGGTTGCTGGGAAAATTATGTATCCTTTTTATCGTGTACGACAATATAATGATCCAAGCTGTTTCCAAGAAAATTATTTCCTTAATATCCCGCGAATCGGAACAGTCATTTGGCCGTTAACGCATGTCTAACACCGATATGCGCCGTGCATGGTTTGGCTGTAACCACCGTGGAGGGTATTGGTAGCACACGGACCAGGTTGCATCCGGTACAAGAGCGCATTGCTGCGGCACACGGGTCGCAGTGTGGATTTTGCACGCCTGGTATAGTCATGTCTATGTACGCTCTGTTGCGCAGCATACCGAAACCGACTATGGAGAATTTAGAAATTGCGTTTCAAGGTAATGCATTTGGAGCACACGTATGATACGTAACTTTACCTAGACAAAGTTGAGTTCGTATCATTGACATATAAGCGCATAATGCATAACGTAATTGTAACGTAGATGATAATTGATTACATATTCTCTAGGTAATCTATGCAGATGTACGGGATACAGACCGATTATAGAGGGATTCAAGACTTTTACGGAAGAATGGGAACGGTCGCAGTTGATGAATAATGGACGAGAGGAAGGAACAAACAGCACGAGAGTCTGTGCAATGGGCGATGCCTGCTGCAAAAAGGCTTTCACGTCCGAACCAACCGAAATTTTCAATTCCAAAGAGTTCCGCCCGTACGATCCTACTCAAGAACCGATATTTCCACCGAAATTAAAAGCAAGTTATTACTACCCTAGCGGAAAAATTCTCTATAAATAACTACAAGAAATTGATTTGAAATAGAAATTTGTAGAAAATTTTATAGGGTGTTTGGGTAAATTAGGGTACTTGAAAAGATTTTGAATCAAGTAATTTGTTATATGATAATACACGGACTATAGAAATATATAACGTCGCTATTCTTCGTACAGATTGAATCTAAACTGGACGAGCAGTATCTGATAGTAAAAGGAAGAAATGCCGGTTGGTACCGACCAACAAACCTCAACACATTGCTTGCTCTTAAGGAACAGTATCCAAATGCTAAAATTGTCATCGGTAACACGGAAATTGGTTCGTATATCCCTTTCTTTGGTATTGTATATTACCATGTTAGAATATCAGAAACTATTTTATCCTGCTACAGGGGTGGAAATGAAATTTAAACGTTTAGTATACCCGATACTTATACAACCAACACAGATCAAAGAAATGCGTGAAATTGTTGAAACATCGGAGGCATTGAGAATGGGTGCGGCTGTGACTTTGGTCGAGCTTGAGGAAACATTAAGACGTTATGTTAAAATAAAACCTGGTAAATACAATAAATACATATATCGTAGAATTACATAGAATTATTTGTATTAATATTGAATGTTATAATTAAAAGTTTCAATATAAAAAAATAATTATACGATGTTTTCCTCGTAGAATATAGTACAAGGATCTTCACGGAAATAATCAATATGTTACATTGGTTTGCTGGAAAACAGATAAGAAACGTTGCTGTAAGTATGACTGTCTTTCTGACGCATTATGATTATTATTTATAATTTGAATAACGAATCTTCTTCGATTGATTAGGCTGTGGGTGGTAACATAATGACTGGGAGCCCAATATCAGATTTGAATCCAATCTTTATGGCTGTCGGTATTAAATTAAATTTATGCAGCTTGAAACATGGCCGTCGAAGTATACCAATGGATCATACCTTTTTCATCGGATATCGACGGAACATTGTTTTACCTGAGGAAGTATTAGTTTCTATCGATATTCCTTTCACGAAAGAGGTAAAAAGTAGCAATAAATAACTTTGTCCCGACGACGAAGAGCGTTTGTCGCATTTTATATTTTTGCAGAATCAATATTTTATTGCGTACAAACAAGCAAAGAGGCGAGATGATGATATCGCCATTGTCAACATGGCCTTAAATGTACATTTCGTTCCTAAAACGAATGTAATTCAGGAAGTGCATATTGCATTCGGTGGGATGGCACCTACTACCATTTTGGCGAGACAAACTTGTCAGAAAATAATTGGAAGGTAATAGTGCTAAATTATTTATTGTCAAGTTATTTTATTGATTAAATTAAGGCCAATAACAAAATTTGATTTAAAGAAAAGAATAAATAGTCAAACTTGAATTCAGCAACTCAATAACTTCTTATTATAAACTTTTGCACTTTAAAAACTCGTATTGATTTCTTCAATATAGATTTAATATTAGATTTTTATTCAGTAAAAATTTATTGTTTTGAATAAATAATTGATAACATATGTTTGATAAAATATTAGTCTATGATGGAAAAAGAGAGAATGAATATTAATGTGATTTTAACCAAGAAAATAAGTGCATAAATGACTTGTAATTAGTTAAATTAATTAATCAATGAAAAAGTAAAGTCAGAGAGAAGCGAAATTAATTCCAAACTTGCATAAAATAAAACATGGAATGATAGAATATGCCTGAAAATTCAAAACAAAAGTTAAAATTAGACTTGATAAAATGGAATATTTTGGAAGTAGAGTTTTGTCAGAAAATTTTCAGCACAAAAACTGAAGGAAGCGTATGTCCCCCTAGACTTTTCATGAGTTTGAAGAAAATTGGTTTTTATCGGACGCTGTACTTTCAGAAAATGGAGTAAATCAATCTTGGAGGAGTTTTACGATTCCTTACTTGAGGAGCTACCATTAGCGGATAACGCACCTGGAGGAATGATCAAGTATCGTCGATCTCTCACTCTCAGGTTCGATATTAGATCACATTAATAAATAAGGGATAAATTAACAAAGCATACTGTAATAACTCAAATATTTTTTAGTTTATTTTTTAAAGGATTTATGCATATCTTCAAGGAATTAACGAAAAACGTTTCGGATATCGAGTGTATGTCGAAGGAGCTAGAAAGCGTTTCAGATTGCTTCCATTATAAAGCACCAAAAAGCTCCCAATATTACCAAGTGGTAATATTTGCAATCCAAATGCTTAAAAATGATTACTAAAATGCAATAAAAATTATAATATTTCGTAATTTCTGGCAGGTGCCCAAAAATCAAGAGTCGAATGATCTAATAGGACGTCCTATTGTGCATACTAGTGCATTTAAGCAAGCAACGGGAGAAGCGATATATTGCGACGATATGCCTAAATTCGCAAATGAATTGTACCTAGCATTGGTCCTCTCTACAAGAGCGCACGCAAAAATCTTAAAAGTCGATCCCTCTAAGGCACTGTCTACAGAAGGAGTCGTGTCATTTTTCTCTTCGAAAGACATAGCGGGAGATAATAGATGGGTTGGCCCTGTAATTCATGACGAAGAAGTATTTGTATCAGAAAAGGTATGTTCTTAAACGAAAATAAATATTAATTATCTTTGTTGAAACTATCCATTCTTCCAAATTTTAGACCTGCGCAAAATAAAAGAAATGTCTATTACTTTTAAGCTTCTTGCAAAATTTTAACGATGACATATCAGTATTTCAGTAACTGCCAACCAATAGTTACATAATCAATATTCTAATTTTCTACTATGACATCAATATTATAATTTCTTACCATGACATCAATAGGCATTGTAATTTTTAACAATGTAACTATCGTATCGTGTGCATACACCATGTGTTACATTACATTTATATTGTTGGAAAATTATAATATTGATGTTACGCAACTGTTAGCTAATGTTTACTCGGACGTTCTGTATCTGAATTCATCAATTTTTATTTAAGCAAAGATTAAATTAATGAGAAATCATATTAGTTGAAAAATATATTGGATATCGTTCCTGCACGAGAAACATGTGACACAAATAGTCATTTTACAGCAGAATTATTTTGAACTTTTAATCTGCTTGTAAATTATACAGTTACAAGTAAATGGCCTGCTAAATTGTATCCTTTCTTCTTTTCTTGCCTTGATAGATTTTCTCCATAATGTATTTTCTTTTACGCGTACCTTCTTTCTACCACTAGTTTTTAACGAAATACAATCTTTACATATGTTCTTTTTAAACGAAATTTTTGTGAATACACTAATCTCTCTCTCTCTCCCCCTCAATTTTGAATAATTCCTTGGTAGAAATTAAGAATTTTCTTTGTCTGTTTTTGTAGGTTACTAGCCAAGGCCAAGTAATTGGCGCAATTGTTGCCGTCGACCAACTTGTCGCTCAAGCTGCAGTAAAAATGGTTGAAATAGAGTATGAAGATTTAGACCCTGTTATCATATCTATCGAGGTATTTTCGTCATAAAATACAAAAGAATAACACGTACTATTCGTTTATTAAAATACAATAAAGCTTGCTTTAATATAATCCGCGTTATTTTTCAGGATAAAATTCTATTCATCATATTGTACCGTATATTTTTATGTGTACACATTGTTTAATATATATTTTTACTTTATAAGTAGAATCCTATTTCGTAAATTCTGACGCAAATTATAAACAGTGTAAAACAATGTATCACACGCTTCTGCAGATAAAGAAGTTATGAAAACCACTTCCAATTTTCCTCAGAAACGGAGTGACTTGGAATTTTTTCAGTCGACGTCTGATTAATAAAAGAATAAAGTGCGGTTCTCTGCGGTTTCCCAATTTTGAAAAAAAATACAGATTTTGCGTGGTACATAAAACTATATAATTTTTTCAAAATCAGGAAAAACTTGGAGAACACTTTGTCCTCTATTAATAAGACGTCGACTGTAAAAGTTTCGAATTATTCTGTAAAACCGTTTTCGAGAGAAATTGGAAGTAGCTTTCTTTTTTTCAAACACCCCTGCATACATAAATGCACTTTCTTCTAGGACGCTATCGCGCATAAATCCTTCTTCCCTGGTTTCCCTAAGCATATCATCAAAGGTGATGTTGAGAAAGCTTTTGCGGAAGCGGACCATGTTTTAGAAGGGGAAATACGTATAAGCGGCCAGGAGCACTTTTATTTGGAAACAAACGCTACGATTGTCGTGCCACGCGAGGAAAATGAACTGGAGGTGTTCTGCTCCACGCAACATCCCAGCGAGATACAGAAACTAATTGCCCATTGCCTGGGTATACATTCAAACAGAGTTAACGTCCGTGTGAAGCGCATAGGGGGTGGTTTCGGTGGGAAAGAATCCCGTGCGGCATTACTCGCGTTACCGGTGGCACTCGCGGCACACAGGTGTGTTATAGAAATGTATATTGCTTGATAATATATGTGCGTGATACACAGAGTCGGCCAACAAAACTTTATTCTATTTAGTTTGTGATTAATTGGATCGTGAGGGAAATACAGAAACATGAATTTTTCGAAGCATATACTGTTTCCTGTTGCTTCGTCTTCTTCTTAGACGTGGTTATCGAAATTTTAAATGGCAATAGAAATCAATTTACATTACTTCAAAGATCTTTTAATTCTCTTTACCACTGTATTTATAAGCGATATAAGTGAAGCTTTTTTGAAAACTGAAAATAACATGCACAGTTACACAACTGTGCCCTAATAAAAACATTAGAAACAATTACATAGTTTGGAGAGTGATTTCTCACACAGCACAAGAACGTCCAGCAACATTGCAGCGACATTGCAATGTTGCTGCACGTTCTTGTGCTGCATGGGTTAAATATAGTCAGTGATTTAAATTTGAATCACTATATCATCTGCACAGCAACTGTATCAATTTATATGGTAAAACAATTTCAGTGTGTTGATTATTAAAAAGATTAAATATGTAGATTACAGAGACCAGTTCGTTGCATGTTGGATAGAGATGAAGACATGATGATAAGCGGGACGCGACATCCATTTTTATTCAAATACAAAGTTGGATTTAATAATGACGGCTTTATCAAAGTGGCGAGAGTGTATATATATAATAACGCAGGTTACTCTTTTGATTTGTCAACATCGGTAAGTAACAAAACCAGTTAAAAAGTTAAGTTTAAAAAAATTTTTAATTAAAAATCTTATAACGCTATGTTCACGCGCGCATAGAAAATCGATGGTTATATTTGTAATATTTTTAGGTATTAGATCGCGCCATGTTTCATTTTGAAAATTCGTATAGAATCCCCGTGTCGGAGATACACGGGTACGCGTGTAAAACAAATTTACCGTCGAACACGGCTTTCCGAGGCTTCGGTGGACCGCAAGGAATGTTCGTAGCTGAAACTATCATTCGCCAAATCGCTGATTATTTGGATGCAGATGTTGTCAAGGTAATTCTTCATATTATAACTATCGCGCTATGAAATACATAGAAATATATTTTTACAAAATTTATTATATAAATTATATATGCATTTGCACATTATTTGTACATTACAAATAGAAGGAAGTAAATTTAATAATTGAACGTGTTTCTTTTCCACAACAGCTGTCCGAATTGAATTTATATAAGGAAGGCGATTTAACGCATTACAACCAGCAACTTGTTAACTGTACTCTGGATCGCTGCTGGCGCGAATGTCTAGCATCATCCCGTTATTATGAAAGACTAGTTGAGGTTCAACGTTACAATAAGTAATTGTCGCCTACGCTGTGAAATCAGATCATTAACAATTACTAACAAATCGACAATGAATTTTACAGAGAGAACCGATTCAAGAAAAAAGGACTCGCGGTCGTTCCTACGAAGTTCGGTATAGCATTTACTGCATTGTTTTTGAATCAAGCGGGCGCGCTGGTGCATATCTATACTGATGGCTCGGTGCTAATCAGCCATAGTGGCGTTGAGATGGGACAAGGTCTACACACAAAAATGATTCAGGTATGAAATATTTACCTGCGCTTATTTTACGTAATAAATTACGTAAAAAATTGATCACTTAAGTCTTGAAGAGAGATATTCGTGTTTAAGTTTGTTTCACATTCGAGTTTAAGTTTGTTTTATCATGCCAGGTTGCTAGCAGAATATTGAAGGTAAATCCATCCAAGATACATATCGTTGAAACGGCTACTGACAAAGTTCCCAATACATCTGCCACTGCAGCGAGTTGTGGATCTGATTTGAATGGCATGGCAGTTATGGTGCGTGACAATATTTTACAATTAGTATTTCAGTGTATGCAAACAGAAGTAGATTAAATAATACAGAAATTAATTTGCAGAATGCTTGTAACGAAATCATGAAACGATTACAACCGATAATTGACAATGATCCAAAAGGTACCTGGGATGAATGGATAAAAGTAGCGTACTTTCAAAGAATAAGTTTGTCCGCCACCGGTTTCTACCAAACACCCAACATTGGATATTCCTTCGAGACTAATACGGGACATCCCTTTAATTATTTTACATATGGCGTTGCTTGTACGGAGGTGGTGATTGATTGCCTTACCGGTGACCACGAGGTACGCTTTTTTATCACGTGAAATATAATAGTCTCATAAAAGATGAGACTAATCTTATAGAGAGCGTAATTAGTTTAAAAATCTCATCCTTGTTGTTCACCGAATGTTAAACAAGGATAAAATGTTAAGAATATTCTTAAAGTCGCCAGCAGTAATTATAAATTAATAACATCGGTGATTTTTGTCGACTGTGTCTGGCAATTAAAATTCTTATTGCGAAAAATATTATCCCAGCCAGGATTCGAACCTGGGACCTCCCTACAATCCGTGACGGGCGTCTTAAGGCAAAATTATTAAAGGATAAAATGATACACCGGGGGACTCGGGTGATATATCCAAACGCACCCCTACTTGTCTGTTTAATTTTACAGTCATCCAGTGTATTCAGGATATTCACTTTACTGTCACACTTCGTGACAACTCGATATCGGGTCATATCGGCTCGCCTATTATACTAATGCGGGATGATCTTTAATTACGAGAAAGCTTAAAGCGCGGTTGCCACCTCGCAGCGAGTGGTACTAGTGCTTCATTAGCTATTATTCAGGCTAACGTTGTCCTTATCGGGGCCTGCTCATGTAATCTTATGAAATTCTGCGTTTATAATTGGATACTCTATCCGACAAGGCATGTACACAGAGTCCTCATCAGAGCTTGATCAGATTATTTGATTAAACTTTTGGCTAGGGTCTAGATAGGGTCATAAGAAGAACCTAATCAGGTTGACCATAAGAAGGCATGGCTTAGAGATACCTGGTCAGGTCCTTAAAATACAGCAGACCAATTTATAATCGGGAAGATTACATAAGACAAATATTGATATTTCTCAATCGATGCAGGTATTACGAACAGATATCGTCATGGATTTGGGAGAGAGTTTAAATCCGGCCATTGACATAGGGCAAGTTGAAGGTGCCTTTGTTCAAGGATACGGTTTATTCACATTAGAGGAAATGATTTACTCACCGACGGGGACATTATTCAGCAGAGGACCTGGCGCCTACAAATTGCCTGGTTTCACGGACATACCACAGGAATTTAATGTATCCTTATTAAAAGGGGTTTCCAATCCAAGAGCGGTATATTCTTCTAAGGTATGACGTTTTGAATGTATAATTTCAAATCGTTTTCGTTTTACGTACGTTAACGGACAGTTCAATTTAAAAGAAAAGAAATAAAGTAACAACGGTAAATTGTACTATAAAACTATATTACGAGTATTTATGTTAAGCTGTAATATAATGTAATATAATATAGGCTGTTGGGGAGCCACCATTGTTTCTGGCATCATCTGCGTTCTTTGCAATTAAGGAAGCAATAATGGCTGCACGCAAAGATATGAATATTCACGGCTATTTTCGTCTTGATGCCCCTGCAACTGCTGCACGTATACGTAATGCCTGTATAGACAATTTAACAATGAAGGTATTAAGTCCTTAGTTAAATTCTTCTTTGCATGTCACTCAGGAGGGTTACTTCTATAATATGTGTCAAGCCCAAGGTTTTTGGAGGGGGATATGTTAATCTAAATAATTAGCGTTACTTTTAATTTTGCAGATTACAGAGCCTGATTTAAAACGACAATGGAATGTAGTGCCGTGAACAAAATTCTCAAGGTCTCATGTTTATGAGACATTTTTAAGGATAAAAATATTAGAATTATGTTGATATAAATAAAATATAAATATTGATAGATATTAACAAATTAGCTAAATATTTGTAAAGTATATCATGAATATAAAAATAATATATTCATTGTTATTACAAACTCAAATGTCATAGATTGTCATAAATATATGATTTACAGATACTCTAAAAATATAGCGTTTAATGCTTGTTTAGATTACTCAAATTTTGATATTTTTCTCTTATATTTATTGGCCATTAATGTAACTATTTCCTTATTATTATTAAATTAGTTACTAGTTATGGAAAAAATGTAACAGAGTTAAGTTACAGATCAGGAGAGAAAGTAACGAAGTTAAGTTAGTTACAAAAAAAGTAACTGTAACTTTATTACAAGTAAGGAGTTACTTTCCAACCCTGATGTAAATCAACAATTGCTCAATTAAACTCTTCAGAGGTATCTCTCAAAGGTACAAACAAAACAATATAAACATTTAATTGTATAATATATAAACGAACTTGAATTTGCTCTAATTATTATTGATAGAATTACACTTTACATAGCAGAATAAAAAGGGTAATTTTAAAAAATTGTTATTTTCTTACATACACTTCGTTAGTGTAAATTTATTAATAACTTACATGTAAATATAAACTAAACGTTGCTTATTCCAGATTTCTCTACCGTTTCCAGCAATGTCTGTAAATTAGTTTCGAATAATTCGCATCGAATTGGCATTTCCAGCGCGTAAAATGGATTTTTTAGCGCATAATCCGCATACAAATCGTACACTCTCTTTAACAAAATTTCCATGCCTGGCTGCGAAGGCTCCGCTACTATCATAAATTTAATGCCCGTTAATGTTTGAAAGCAATATAAACGAAACGTGTCCGCTTCGAGAATTTCAATCCCGGAACTTCGTAGTTCCGGGCTGAGTTGGCTTGCTATCGCGAAAAGAGGATAGAACATCGAAGCTAAAAATATCTTTTCGTTTGTCGTCATTTTTGCCCGACTAAACTTTAATGTTATAGGAAAATTTTCCGGTTGCTCCAACATCTCCAGGATATCCCTTCCATCTTCAAGTTCACGCCCTGTGATTGCATTTCCATTCACATACGTCAATACATGTCCCACTGAAAGATATTTGTTTCTAAGTTCTCTTATTTGCACTCGTGTATTTTTTCGTGTCTTATTAAAATGTACGTAGTGATATATTACGGAAATACACAACGTGAAAGAAAAGTAATGTTCAAAATTTGACACGATTACGGGACTTTTACAATAATTTGAAAAATATTTCCGCAAGCCTCAGAAAATTTTAAGCTTCAAGTTTACAGTTGTTGCACCTTTTATAATTTTTACATTTATATTTACATTACATTTTGGTTCTACCGCGACATTTTGTTTCTTTCAAATAGTATTGTTCATTTAATAATTGTTGCTCAATATTTATATATTACTTATTTAGATTATTTTCGTATAAAGGATTTCATGTCTTTGAAACCCTATGTATAAAATTAATATAAACTTTTATTGTGCCATTTAAATATAGCGATTAATGCAAGGCTAAATATACCCACACATTACTTTTTATCACGTATATTCTATATAATTATAATTATTTTTCATCAAAACACATCCTTACCATGTATTCCATCCCTTTGCCCAAAAGACACCACTATTTTCTTATTTTCATAATTTAATTTAATATTCAGTGGAAAATTAAAGGATTTTTCAACTTCAATTTTTGGAACATTATGGTCATGGTTGAAGATCAAGCCGCCAGACTTGGATACAATATAAACGCCGTATATCACCATTCTGCGTTTTTTTTCTATTTATATATCTTGAATTTGTTGCTTAAATCAACTGACATACGTTGCTTTTTAGTTCTGTGTGCGATAAATACTTATTAACTTATTGTTTGGATTTTAATTTAAAAAAATATATTCATTCAATTCCTTTTTACTAAAAAAATCGTGAAAAATAACTAACCTGCAAGTTACTTGTAAAATAATCATTAAAAATGATGTTTCGATATTAAATTACACCACATCAAAATAAACTGATGAATTAAGCGCATAACTTTAGATTGGGTTTGCTATTTCTTATGAAAAGATCCATCCAATTTAGCTCGCTTTACTTCTCGAATAGTCAAATCTATCAGAAACAAATTTTGAAAGTATCTATTACAAAATTTTTCAAAGCACAACAGAAATAAAACAGAATCTCCTGGGAGAATATAATGACAAACTAAATGTCAAAACTGGGTGAAATATACCATTTTTTAATCATTCAAATATCTACAAAATGACAGACTGGATTCTACAGACAATCTGCTTACACAGATATGTTTGAGCTATTATAATATCTGAACAAATCTGCTGTCATTCCGGTCATAATTTGCTTACTAAATTACTATGCAGAATAAAGTCTTCGAATTAATTGCACAGGCTCACAAAAGAAGTACCCTGTACCGGAGATCTGACTCGGCTATTCTTATGTATTTTGAGTCGCTGATTATGAATCTGACGTCAGAATTGCTCTACGTCACGGTTTTTTGTAATATCAAAAATAAAGGAAAAATGTTATAAAATACATTTGAGGGTAGTAAGACTGCGCTTCTTGAGGGAAAAGTTACCGAAATCATGTTACATTTCGATGTATTTTTAGACCTTAAATCCAAATCCAATTTCACACTAATGGTGTGAAAAACTGTACCATCCATTCCGCTAACATTAGGCACGCAACAGTAGCAATCTTTCGTATTCCGTACTTGATTTTTTTCGAAACCTACAACTTCTAACTGCTGAGTTCGTATAAGATTGCAGAAATTTCCTCGTGTAACAGTAGCAATCTTACGTATTCCGTATTTGGTTTCAGTTCATTCATCAATCCTTTTACGTTGGAAGGATCCTCCAAGTCCGAATCTTGAGAAAAACATTTACGAAACTTACAGCTTCCAGCTGTTGAGTTTGTATGTAGAAATTCGCTCATATAAGTCACCCTCTTTCAATGTCTTCGAAGTGCCAGAATTACATTTAAAAAAATTGAATGAGCAGAACGTTCAATTATTAGGTCGGATTTGGATTTAATGCCTGAAAATACATCAAAATATGATTACGGTGACTTTTCTCTCAGGTAGCGCAGTCTTATTACCCTCGAATGCGGGCGGCACTGTTTTCTATTTTTGAGATTACAAAAACTGACGTGTGGAGCAATTCTGACGTCAGATTCGTAACCTGCGACTCAAAGTATACACCCAGATGCCAGCATGCTCAAGCAATGTATGGAAATAAAATGCCAGCAACTGATGCTGGCTCTTTGCTGGGAATGTGAATTCAATGTTTGAGTGATTTAAGTACAGCTGACATAACGTTAACATATTGTCGTAGTTAAATGCACAGCTAAAGAGAGAGCACATCGAATAGACATACTGTTAACAAAGAATTAGCATATATTGTTTTCAATTTTCTAACAGATATAAACATGTTATATCTATTACATCTGACCAAGCACTTAATGCTAGCATAATGTTTGAATCATGCAAATGTTTCATTTCCGACACCAAATGCTAGCAAACAACAGCACAATAAACGATATAGATATGCATAGCAAGATGCTAACATTTTTCTTAGCAATGTGAAAGCAACTTGTGCTCACACTGGCTACCTGGGCAAGAGCAGCCTAGTCAGAACTCCGGTACAGGGTACTTTTTTCGTGGGCCTGTGTTATTCGAATGCTGTTTACACGTCTATATACGTCAGTGCGACAGATTTTGTAATCTCAGAACGAGCATCGTATTTAACATTCACTAATTTTCATAATGTTTTGTTCTTCGTGCGCAGAGACATCGAACATACTTTTCGTCAAAATCTAACGCAAATATGACAAACTTCTGGACCTGATATAACCTAAAAAATAATACTTTTAATGAGTGATCGCCATTACATCGAAACATCAATCTTTTAAACCTTTGCATCCTTAAAAGGAATCAAACAAAGATATTCGTCGAATAAATAATTAAATAAAGATATGCAAACTAAAAATATTTACCCTGTGCCTGAATCGTTCCTATTCACTTTTATATCCTCGTTATGTTTCAAAGCTTGCAGTTTTTACGTTTACACGTTACAAGAACTGACAATAAGTATATTCACCAGGTTTTATAAATAGCCCGCATTTTGACAAAGTGGATAACAACACAGACTTCTATTAATCCGATGATAACAACTTGGAGTCTGTTCTTTGTAGCTGAACTGGCTGCACCGTTCCGATATTTACTGCCAGTACTGAAAATCTATAGTTTACGTCACGTATACTATACAGTTTCAGTCGTCGTGGTCGTGTCGGCTCAGAAACGGAGCCGGGAGCCAGAACGAGATAAAGAAGAAGAAGAAGATACAGTTTCAGTACTGACAGTGAATATCGGAACCATGGAGAATATACATTCTCCATAAAGGTGTCTTTTATACTTTTAGGCCCAACAAGGAGCCAAAAGTAAAAACCAATCATATTAGATATCGAACATCCTCAGATATCGATCCAGCGTGAATCGATCCTGCATTAACAATTGAATTTTTTTTTGGAAAAAAACAATTGAATTGTATGTACACGCACCGGCATAAATGCCACA